AACTGATGGGTAGTCCGAGCGAACGATTCAGACATTGGAACAATTCTTGAGGTGCTTCATCAACTATCATCAGGATAACTGGTTCGATATCCTTCCCCTTGCTGAGTTCTCCTATAACAACTCTGTTCACTCTCTTCGAGTTTCCCCCTTCTTTGCGAACTCTGGCCGAAATCCCCGATTCAATCTCTCACTTCCTTCTCCATCTGAATCCTCTCGTTCAAATCCCCGCTCTGAATCATTTCTCTCCAACCTTCAGGAAATCCACAACTCCATCTCCTTCCACCTCCATCGTGCTCAGGAATCTCATAAAACATTTGCCAATGTCCATCGTCAGGATTGTCCCCCTTACAATATCGGGGATAAAGTCTGGCTCCTCAGGCGAAATATCTCCACCACCAGGCCCTGTCCAAAACTCGATTTCAAACGCCTTGGTCCTTTCCCTATCACTGCCATCATTAATCCTGTCACTTATCGCCTTGCACTTCCCTCCTCATATCAAATTCACCCCGTTTTTCACTCCTCTCTCCTTGAGCCTTATGTTCCCAGTCCTATTTCAAATCGGGTCATTCCTCCGCCTCCACCAGTGCAGCTCGAGGATGGGTCTGAGTACGAGGTTTAGGACATCCTTGATTCCAAGATTTCACGATCTAAACTCTACTATCTGGTGGACTGGAAGGGTTACGGACCTGAGGAACGCACTTGGGAACCTGCGGACAACCTGATTCATTCTCCTGACCTTGTTCAGGACTTCCACCGCCGCTATCCTTCTCGTCCCAGTCCTCATTCTTTTTCTCCATCTCCCATCCCTCGCCGCTCATCTCATCCTCCTCTTCGTTCTCATTCACATCCTCGTTCCACTCGTTCTTGAGGAGGGGGTGCTGTCAGGAATCCCCCAATTCTTGCCACATTCCTGACTCTCGCCGGATTCCTGACCTGCAGACCACATTCCTGACTCTCGAGACACTTCTCTATTCCTGACTCTCGAGACACTTCCCTATTCCTGACTCTCGAGACACTTCCCGATTCCTGAGTCTCGAGCCACATTCCTGATGATGATGTGGCGCCTCCTCGACCTCAGCTGTATTTAGGCTGTCCTCGATCCAAGAGTGGTGGAGCTTCATCAACCTATAGTATATATAGGTTAGCCTTGTTCCATTTCTCCACAATCTGAATTAACACCAGTCTAAGGCCTCTTCTTTGTTTTCACTAGCTTTTTCTCTTTGTCTTTAGCATTTTCCAGTCTTGATCTTGTTGGGGGTCTTGACAAAACCTCTCTCTGATACCAAATGTAAACTCTTGAGTTTGGACTTCCCGGAAGTGTAGGGTTATGATATATACTAACATTAATATAATGGATTTTGATAGCTATCAAATTGGTTTCAATCCAAACCACACATTTCTGTATATAATCTAGGGTTTTTGGGCTAATTTATATACATATTTTTGTATTTCATTTTTATATTCTATATACTCACATTAGTGGAGGTGGGGGGCCACTTTAATTATCTTTATAGATTTGGGATTTTGGTTCAAATTTAGCTTTTGCATTGTATAAATCTCACTTTCCATATAATTTTTTCATTTTTTTTTTTTGTTTTTTCATTTTTTTTCATTTTCATGGTAGAGTAGCAACTTCCTCCTCCTTTGACTCTAGAGCAACAATTGGTGTAATTGTTTAATGTTATATAATTGCATTTGAACAATTAAACTTAGTTGATAGTGGCATTTATGGCATTTGATATAGCTCCTTTTGCTCTTATTGTCAATCCTCACATTTGGCTGAAGTTTTTTTATGAGAATCTTAAGGGTGATGTGTACCATTGGCTTAATCATTATATAGTGATTGTCACATATCATTCTTGGGATGATGCTTGACATTTGTATGAGTTTCCCACATGTTTCTAAGGGATGACACTACAGTGGTATAATGGTTTGAGTGCAACCACTAATATAGTTTGGAGCATTTTCTCGAACATCTTAAAACACACATTTAAACATGCTAATGATTGTGGTGATGCCTTTTAATAATTCAATCATCTTTGTTAAGAGCTACATAAGTTAGTGTTGCAATTTGATATTCATTTCCGGAGCCTCTTGTTTCGTGTAGAGTCAAATATATCAGAGTGGATCAAGTTGAAAATGTTGTAGCTCACACTTCGTCAAGATCTTATAGGACTTCTATATGCACTTGCTCTAACCATCCTTAATGATACTCTTCACTTGACATAATGTTAGGAAATATTGCATCTTCCACTTCTTGCTATATATCTTTCAATTTTACTTCTTGTGGGAAATGATTCTATTTTAATGAAAGTTGATGTTGCTGCTATCTGAATTCAAGGACAAAGGTGAGAATGTGGTCATGGCCATGATGTTTGTTGGTAAACGTGTGATGAAGCTGGTCACATTTATTAGCGTTGTCAACATTTTCCAAATTGGTGACTTCTATTTCTTGGGTGGAGACCTTGGTGTCAATAACGTTCTATTGGTGCTATTGTAATAGAAGGTCTAGACTCCAAAAAGCTTTCAAGAAATAAGGAGTCATATGAGTAGTGGAGGGTCCTTACCTGAATAAATCAATGATCCCTTCATTTTTCTTTTGGGAGTATAATTCATCTAATATTTACTTTCCAAGCTCATTTTTATAACAAGAAGTCTATTATTATTCTCTCCATATTAATTGATATAGGCTCAAGTTTATCTTTTATTGCTCGGCTTATTGCTATACATTGCCATCTACATTTGCATTGTGTAGTAGAACCAGCTTTCATTCTATATAGCAACAGCTATACATATGCATGTACATAGGATGAGGTGAATTTAATTGTGCATGTGGGTAATCTCAAGCTTGAGCTGCAATTATTGCAAGTGGTGCTAAGTCAAGCTTTAGACCTCATCTACAACTAGTAGAGGTGAACTACTCCATGATAAAGAAAGAGTGTTTAGCAGCAATTTAGGGTTTCGAGAAACTTTATGCAATTCTCAAACATTACTAAAAGGTGATCATGCTATAGTTACCATGATTCTCCTATTCTAGGTGGGTATATAAGATATCATTGTGTGACTAAAAAACTATGCAGGTTTTTTTAATAGCCAAAGATGCAATATAATGTTATTTGGTATGTGCATAGTTGCATTTGGTGCCAAGCTCATAATACTCCTCCTCATGCTACAAAAGTACTATTAGAGTTAATTGCAATTTCTTGTCCATGTGAGTTAGTGGCATTTTATTTGATGGTTATGGTAGATTATTAGCAATAAATATATCATTATTGCTTCTAACTACTTAACTCACTAAATAGAAGTTGGTACTCTTGCTAGTGCCTTTACTATTAGATTACTGTTGGATACTTCCTTCTCAATTAAGTAGCAATTCTATTTAGAGTGAATTCTTTCGGATAATGGCATCACATGTATGGCTGAAGCATTTCATGTTTTAACATCTCGATTGAGGATATGCCACATACAAGTATTTATTATACACAGTCAAATGGTTTGGTGGAAGGGCTCATTTAAACCTTCAAAAGGATGATCGTGAATTATATGAACTTTAAGCATTTAGATTATGATGGTTATTTGCTATCTCTTTGGTATATATATATATATCATAGAGGTGCAAAGTTCTATTGGTGCTTCATCATATAAACTCCTATTTTATTAATTGAGCTTACCTCTGTGATTGCCATGAGCTGTTGATACTAAGTCTTGGGATCAATATTTAACAAGCATTTTGTAAGTTTTTGAATTTAGACTTCTTGGGAGGTCACCCAACCTAGTATTATTCACTTAACCTTAAGTATTCTAAAACCCTTAACTAATTGAAAAAGGGGGTGCACTCTTTTTCATGGGCCCTTTCCCTTTATATTTAAACCCTTATAGATCATTTATCAAGTTATTCCCTTTAGTTGGTTACAATCCACCACCCTTCCCTGCAAGTTCACACCCTTGTGAATGAAAGCTGAAAGTCACATCTCTCCTAAGAGCCTCGCTCTTTTGACACCCTACCCCTACTCGGGTTAAGCCCATCAATCCTTATAAATTGTTTTTTAAGTAATTCATTTTGGTTGTTTACACATTCTTTTACTGATTTGAGCAGAGTTTGCCGAATATTTAAATTGTATTCAAGTGGGACAACAAAGGCATTACAACTCCCACCATCATCCATATGTGAAGTACAAAATGGATGACTTAGTGTTAGTTCATTTTCTCAATTTTACAATATGTGGTTTATCTAAGGGTTTCTTACTCTATGGAAAGGATCGTATTGAGGGTTGTGGCAAGTTAGATCACAAGTTTATGAGGTTTGACATAATGTTTAATAGACTAATCCTCTAAAAATTGTGCATGTGCAACAATTGAAATGATTCATATAAAGGGATTAGCAACAATTGACATCATCTACAAATCTACTGATGCCTCCTTTTGATATTCCTCCAGATATCAACCCATTTATTAAAGAACCTTGATTGTCTTCCATCCATCTAAGAGGAGGGGATTATTATGGCTATGATATTGTATATTAATATTAGTTTAGTGAAACTTTAATAGGCATTAGATTGGTTTTAATCTGGACCACTCACTTCTATATAAATTAGAGTGTTTGGATTAATTGATATGCATATTTTTATATTCTATTTCTATATTCCATACACTCATATGGCTATATTTCATCCTTTTTATACAATTTTATAGTTGAAACATTAAAATAAGATATACTAAAATATTATGAAAAAAAAATTGTATAGAAATACTCTATTTCTATTTTAGTTAGAATAAATTTATAATAATTTTTAATTATAATTTAACATTCTCCCTAAATTATTTACACCAGATTATCTAGTGTTTCATTTATTATTTAAACCAATGTTTTACGTTAGGAAAAAAATTATAATAATTTTTATTCAATTTCTATATAATTTAATATTACAGATTGGGTTTTGTAGTTAATGTTTTTTACAGTATATGCCAAGGTAATAAGCTCCAAACAACTTGTTGACAAACAACCTATTGGCTCTTACATTTAAAACTGAAGTATTTTTGTCTGTAACAAGACTAGCCAAAACTATCTAGATTGTGAGAAGGGCCAAAAGAACTGGCACAGTGCTACCATGTAAAACAGTGCCTAACAAAGATCAAGTAGAAAGCACAAACAAAGTGACAAGAAACAGTGCTTCACTCCAAACGTTTGTGCTGGTTGCTACTCGAAATGGCTCCGTCGATCCCACTCCATCTCATCCAGCACATATAAAAGCCTGTTTCGCGAGCATGGAGCTCATCGAGAAGAACCACAATGAAGAACACTACGCGTGTTCATGTTGTAGTTCAACTCGTATTCATCTTCGTTTTTGCGGGATGGATCTTCAACTGGATCATGCTGCCAACGCAAGCTTGGTATAAGTTCTGGGGTCTCATTCTTGACAAGAACGACTCCAGGGCCTATGGAGAATCCGGTAATCATCAGTAAAGTTCTCATTTTGTATAATGCAAAAACTTACATTTGCCATTCTTATCACAGCATCGTATGCGATCCTCTACGTTGTGCCTGTGATTTTCATAGCTTTCTTCGGCAGCATCTACATGAAATACATCAAGATGTTAAGGTAAAGCCTTGAAACATTAACTTACTTGTCATCTCCGGGAATGCTTTCAGGCTGCCAGACTCCATACGCAACGCTTGGTCTCGTCCAGCACTGATCAAAGCGCCAATACTCTCGCTCATTTCTGGAGTAGAGCTCTTTGTTCTAGCGGCATTCGTACTCCTGTGTGCATGGTCGACATGGCGGCCGATAAAAACTTTGCTGGACAAGATCCATGATCCTGGACAGCAGTGGATTGAAGGATCCCTGTAAGATCACGATGACAACTTCACAAAGTCAAGTTTTTGATCGAAATACCTTCGGTTTTTTTTTTCTTTATAGGTGGCTCAGAAGATGTGAAATCATTGGATACGAGCTTGGTTATGCTGGACTCGTCCCGTTCGCTTTCCTGTTCTTCCCAGTCGCAAGAACCTCCTCAATTCTCCACTTGGTGAACATTCCTTTCGAGCATTCCGTCAAGTACCACATCTGGGTAGCAAACATTACTTTGGTTCTCTGGACGGGTCACTCCGTTGCTTATCTCATTCTCTGGATTCGTGCAAAAGAAACAAGCAAGGTTGGCAACTTATAAGTTCTCGTCAAAATAAGCATACCTCTGACGAGCTCGCATGGTTTTTGGTTTTTACTCTTCAAGTTTATCAACCAAGGTGGAAGGTTCGACCTCGCTGGAATCGGAGCCTCGGTGGCCTTCGCCACAAGCCTTATCATGTGGATCACTGCAATAAAACCCGTGAGAAATCGCAAATTCGAGATGTTCTTCTACACGCACCAGCTCTACATCGTCTTCATCTTTAGCTTCGCCGTCCACGCTGGAGATCGAGGCCTGGAGACAATAGCGGCTGGTATGGTCCTGTTCTTCGTTGATAGACTCCTCAGGTACCTCCAGTCGCGGAGGCATGTTGATATGGTTTCTGCAAAGCTAATATCCTCGGACATGATGGAGCTAGCCTTTGCAAAAGATCCAAGTAAGAATAGAGAAAAGAAAAGGAAAGTTATCATGCCAAAAATCATTGCTTTACCAGGTTTGCGATATCCAGCCTCGAGCATTATGTTTCTCAACATCCCAGCAGTGTCTAAGCTCCAGTGGCATCCTTTCACAGTGACCACCAACTCAAACGTGGACGACTACAAGATCTCCGTGGTCATCAAATCCAAAGGATCCTGGACAAAGAAACTCAGGAACTACGTGACCAACCCCAAGAACTATCACGTCGACGCGATCATCGAAGGCCCCTATGGACACAGCTTAGACTACCTGATCGAGTAAGTACCAAAAAAAAAAAAAAAAAAAAGCGTCAAAAACTCACCTCGGTTCTTCTTCTAGCTACTCAATCCTGGTGTTCGTCGCTGGAGGCAGTGGGATCACACCCTTCATCCCAATTCTCAAGGAGGTGTTCTTCCAGATCCAAACCGGCCAGAGACCACTTCCGGAAAAGATCGAGCTCATCTGGACTTTACGAAACTCGGACGAGCTCAGTGTTTTAGAATCAGTGTCACCCTGGTCGATCTGTCCAGACTTTTCCTATCTGCTCAATCTCCAAATCCACGCATACCTCACAAGACAAGACGCCACGGACCTCAAGAACAAGCCATCCAACTCTCACGAGACAATCCTCTTCACAGGAACGCAATACGAGAAGTACCTCACGCACAAGAAACCAAAGTTTAAGGCAGTCACAGGCACGCAAAGCTACGCTCTCCACGCAGCAGTGATCCTGGCAAGTTTCGGAGGATACTTACTTCTCTCGGGAGTGATCCGGCGATTCATCGTGTTCCCGCTGGATCACAACGTCTATCACATCTACAACAAGCCTTCCGCGGGGACGATCGCGCTGCTCGAGTACTTGGCGGCGGTGGTGGTGTTTGGAGGGAGCACGGCGGTGGCGTGGACGTGGTGGAAGGAGAGGAGGATTGGAGCGGTGATGGGGATGAAAATGGAGCTCCCATTCGTGGTGGAGGAGGATCCAGTGATGCTCACGGATGTGCATTTTGGATGCCGGCCAGACTATCCAGGTGAGTGGAAGAATTTCTTCTCGATTGATCACTTACGAGAGGAATTTGTGGGATTCCAGAGATCTTCTTCGAGCACGCGAGGAGGCGGAGGAAGGGCGTGAGCGTCGGCGTGATGGCTTGCGGGCCGCAGCAGCTCCAAGAGAGCGTGGCCGCGGAGTGTAAGGCGCATTCCCTGGGCTTCCATCCCCTAAATTTCGAGCTTTAGCGAAGAACCCTAAAATCTCTTCACATTTTTAACCTAATAAAAGCCTTTAGTTTTACTAAAGGCCCGCCGAACCAAAAGATTTCTCCGAGCCGGTGCCGAGCCTGTTTAGCTTGCTGCGACTTTCGCGTAGAAGACCTTCGCTTGCTTATTTGCCATTCTACCACAAATCGATATTTTTTCTCGTAGCTCCACTCTGCTCAAAACTTTCATGCTTCATCTATCAAAAAAAGAGAACTTGTTAGAACTCTAGCAAGAACACTTGGAAGAACTTTAAACTTGCTCACTCTTGGTTGGGCGAGATCTTTCTAAAGCGATGGTTGAGGCTGGATCCTTGCCTCCTCTCGGATGGAAGCGGCGTCCCCATTCGTATCGCTCGCTGCTGCTCAGCGATGCTCTTCCCCAGCATGATGGGCCTGGGAAGCACTCCCAAGTTTGCGTGATCCACTCGTGCCTTGGCGGGCGACGATGGTGATGGCGTCGCCACCGAGGGCTTGAACCACTGCGAGAGAGCTGCTGGATGCAACCGGATCTTCCCCAGGCTCTCCTTTCCATTGAAACGCAGTTTAAGTTTTCTCAGCAGCGCAGCCAAAGCTTGACCGTTCCTGAAGGAAGCAAAAAAAAAAAAAAAAAAAAAAAAACTATCTTTATGAGAAGAACAAAGAAGGAGCGAGGAGCTACCTCCTGGTAACTGTAATGGCTTTTACTCGTCCATCCGGGAGGATCACCGATTTCCTTGTTGTCTCGAACTTTATGGTGACAAAAGGAAGTTCTGCGCCTGGATTGGTAAAAAGAAACAACATCAGGACTTGAAAGGCATTTATTTTCTTCGCGTACCAGCTGCACAGCGACGCCGAAGGGCTTTCAGTATCGTAAGCAAACACACCTGTTGTGCAGACGAGCATTTCCAAGTCAGTAATAGACGTGGGATGAAATGAGACGATACCTCCGCCGTGTAAATAGGCAGTCCATCTGCTTCGAAAACGATCGGCTCGCCGTCGCATTTGAATGCTGGCACTACACCGATTGATGAGGCTTCCTAAACAAAATATATAAACTTTTAACAATGATCTCTCCAACAGAATCGAAACGAATTACCTCGTACAAAGCTGAGGCTCGAGGGTCGTAAACTCCAAAGCCCTCCACCAAGTGCTTGTTTGGAGAGGAAGTTTGGAACACGAGACCAGTATCTGCTCTTTCGGATGACTCTGGAATTCGTAGACAAGCGAGTAGTCTCGAAAGTACTGGCAGTGTAGGCTGTGCTCCACCCGAAAGTGTCTGGCGGAAACATGCAAGGGCCCAGGAAAGCCTGCAATGTTTCCTTGATTATCCAAGTGATAGCAGGAAAACCCGACTTGAGACTTAAACTTACCATTGGCCATGCGGTTTCTGATTGTCGTCTACCATCCACAACGGGTTTACCGAGGAAGCAAGCTTCGGAGGTCCAATGGAGCTCCGGATGCCTTCCAGACAAATACCTTCGTGCACAACATGGGCTCAATACAGATTTCCAAAGCACCAGCAAGCAACATACCTATTATGTTGTCACACATAGCCAAGTTTGGAACTATACCATCCGCAATTGCGTGGGTGTACAAGTTGAGAGCGATGCCAGCCTCGTTTTCCCTGTCAAAAAAGAAAGAAAAAAAAAAACGAGCATTAGCTACGAGCAAGGGAGAATAAACATACCATGCTCCTGACAAACAGCACCTACAATGCATGCAAACAGACAAACCATCCGATCAAATAGAGAAGAATACTTCTCACAAGCCTCCAGCAAAATACTGTAAGTTAATTGATTAGGAGAAACCCCCGCTTCTTTCAGCTCTTCCAAGCTTTGGAGCGCATTCTGGAATTGCTTCCCTCGACCTGCAAGCACAACATCGCATTTAACTTATACAAAACTCCGTGTACAAGCTTACACAAGGCTGTCATAAGGGCGTTAAGAGTGGAAACGCTGGGTCGAATTCCCACTGCCTGTATATTTTCGTAAAGAAATATAGCTTTCTCCCAGTTTCCTGTCTGGCCACGAAGTATTTCATCAAGTAAGTTCAAATAATTAGCATTGTAATAACTCACATTGCTACAGACTCCCATTAGGGAGCTGAATATCACAGGACCAGGAACAAGAGAATACTTTTCAACTTCTTGTAATACATCAAAAGCACAGTCGATTTTACTAGCATGGCCAGCAACATCAATCAAAGCACTAAAGAAAATCTGCATAATACAAATCAAGTGAACACACACAAAGAAATAGGAGCACAAATCGTTACCTCGTCTGGTTTCACACCATCTTTCTTCATATCATCGTAGATGGAAAATGCACGCTCCAAATTGCCACTACTGCTGCATGCATGAACAGCTGCTGTATAAGGCTCTGGGCATCCTCCAATTCCACGCTTGCGCATCATTGTGTAAACTTCATAGGCAGAGTCTCCCTGGAAAATTTAGCTGTCACAACAAGGCCATAGAAATCATAAAAACCGCTTACATCTCCTGCTTTTGAGCATGCATCTATGAGCGAACACATTGTGACATGATTTGGATTGATAGGATTTTCAGACTTCAACTCTGTGAACACCTCAAATGCTCTTTTCACCGCGCCAGACCGACCACAAGCGTTGATAAGCGAGTTGAAAATGACTCGATCGGGTTTTATTTTCTGTCCAACAATGGATCACGTAAAATTGCCGCTAATCGTTGAATCAAATGATGTAAACCTTTGAGAGCATGATTCTGTAAATTCCAAAAGCCTTTGCAAGTTCACCAGTTCGAGCGCAGCCATCGATGATCGCTCCATATGTAAGAAGGTTGGCTTCAACTCCAACACTTTCCATTTCACGGTAAACCTGTGCTAAAACCGAGTTAGTCCAATGAAGGATGGGACCAGGATTTCTTGCCTGAAAGACAAGATCTGTCTTAAGAGCCTTTGAACAAGTTGAGATTAGAGTAGTATAAATCATGCAGTCTGGCTTAAAACCAGCTCGTTTCAGTGCCGCAAAAGCTCCAAAAGCCCCTGTTTGCCATCCAAAACAAGTACTTCAAAAAACTTAGAAAAATGCTTAATACCATTCATATCTCCTGCGTTGCAGCAGACTGAAAGAAGCATATTATAAGTGCTTAGCGTCGGAGACTTGATCAACCCGGTGTATCTGAAAGCCTCTTCCACAGCCAATTGTCTTTTACATTCTTGGTAGAATCGTGCATGATAGACCTGCAAAACTCAGCCACTTCCTTCCCTTCATCAATAAACCTGAGCAAGAAAAATAGTCGTCGAAATTACCTTGTTCATATCCAAGGTTCCTTTCTTCTCCATCTCCTCGAGAACCTCCAAACTTTCTCGAATTCTGCGATTTAGACAAATTGTCAATGTGTCAAGCATGGAGATAAATGGAAAGTTCCAACCTTCGAGCTCTTATAAGTCTGTCATAGGCGATGAGATCCTCTTGTCCTCGAGGCGATGGCATCCTGGTGAATTTTTTTACTGCCTGTTCTAACACGGTCTCCTCCTTGGCTGGTAATTCGGGAGTATGCCTTTCGTCGCTTTCCAAAAGGCGAATGGGACTAAACTCGGCAACCTGGGCCAAATCATCTCGGGAAGTCGACGAATTCTGGGCTGGAGAAGAGATTTCTTGAAACTCTCGCGAAGTAAACGCAGTGGGAGCCTACAATGATTTTGCGTGGAAAACTATGAGTAAAGATATGAAACATTATTTTACCTGAAGCTTCCCATGCTCGATTTCGATTTCTAGACCTCCTCGTTGCTCAAGAACGGCCACCGCTGTGTCAAACTGCCGAAAATCCTCGCTTCCAATGCCGCTGGAGCTGCCGAATTCTCGAAATTCTTGGCGATTATCCCTGGATTTGGAGGCGGCCGACGACGAATGCACATAGAACCAGTACATGGGGAGAACCGTGGCCGCCGCTGCCGTGGCCGCCAATGCCGCATCGAAGAAGAAATCCGAGTCGCTGGGGTGAGCTCCACACCTGGAGGAAGAAGATCCGCCGAAACCCTGCTTCCTGGGATGCTGGCGATTGTGGCGTGGCGAGGATCCCGTCGCCTTGCAGCATTGCAATGCCGCCCTGGATTGTGATGCCGTGGCGGTGTAAGAGGACGAGGAAGAAGAGGCCGCCATAGCCACCGATGCCGATGCCGCGGCGGCCTCCATGACCGCGCCTAAAACCTCAATCAAAACTCTACACAAAGTTGTTTTTTTCGCACGACGACATATTCTGGAATATTCACCGGCGTATTCTACCGTTCGTTTCTGCGGCGAAGATAAGATAAAAGTAGCCGTGGTCGTGTGTTCGATTCCACTGCAATACTTACCACTTATCTGTCACTAGCAAGGAGTTGTCACTACATTGAGACCAAGTTTATGAACTTGGTGATGAAGGTTACATTTTTACACAGTTTTGTTCACAATTCCTTTATTGAATGTCTCTTATAAAAAATGATTCTAGAGAAGTTAAGAAAAACATTTTTTTTCAAAGTGAGGTGATTATTTAGATTCCTACCATTTATAAAAGATTTCATTAAGCTTGAAAATATATGGATGACACTTGTGATAAGCACTATTTATGAGTTCATAATAATCTTGTGTTTTTGTTTTTTTTGAGTTTTTATTTCATTGTGACAGTACTATATATTTAGTATTAAAGTTTTTACATTATTTTCAGTTCTAAACTGACAAAAAATCAATAACCTCTTTAAATAAAATAATTTTAAAGTGGTTTAAAATTAAATATAGCTAGGTTATTAAATAATATTAAATTTTCCTATGTTAATTAATTTTTTAATTTTTTTCTAATTTTTATTTTAACAAATATTAAATTAATTAATAAATAAATAAAATTATTTATAAGTATTATTTATGATTTTTTGGTAACATTTTCCCTAATAACTATATCTACATTAGAAACTAGTTTATTAATAATTTAAGTTAAGCAGTGATACATAATATGAGAGTTAAATAAGTAATACATATCGATAAAATTTAAAGTAAAAAATATCTATTTACAGCCTTAAGAAAAAATTTAAAGCAATTATACTAATATAATTACATAAAAAAATAATGTTATTTATATAAGTATTTTTTATGTTTAAAAATAAAATATATATTGATCAATATTGTGGCCATTCAAAAACATATAATATCCATATTAAATATTAAATATTAAAATTTTAATATAAAATTTGTATAAATTATTAATAAATATGATTATTATTCACTTTTTAATCATTATTTAAAATTACTACTAAAAATTATTATAAAAACAATTAAAAAATATATATAAGTATAAAGCATTAATGTACATGTATGAATTGAGTATAATTAAAGTATATCGGTAAATATGAAAAAATATATTTATAAATGTTTTATTACTAATTAATGTTAAAAAATACTTCAGCTGCTATAACCTTTTTTAGTTATATTTATAAATAATAATTATAGTTTACTAAAGTGGCTATAAATCAACATATCAAATTTGTTTAAAGAGAAATTAAAATAATCCAATCTACCATAATAAATATTTAATAAATATGTTAATAAATAAATTTATTTTCCAAGTTTTTGTAATATACTCTTTAAATTCTAACTAAAGAGTAATTTATTATTTCCTTTCTAGAAGATATATTGGAATCATATGTGCATAGATATGGAGCCGTGGTTAAGGCTAAGAGACTCCATAACAAGGATCATAATATATCATTACTTGGATATTTATACAAATTAAATTTAAGTACTTCAAAGATCTATTTTTTAATTTTGAAAATGATATATTAAATAATTGTTCAGTTACAAATGTTAAATGTTTAATTTGAAGTTATGATGGGGTTGTCAAATAAATGTTTAGGTAACAGTAAATATATAAGTTATAAACAAAAAAACTATTTATGTATTTTTGTTAGTCAATGTCAAAATTTTTTTTTTATAAATTTCATATTTCTTATAATATATTTTTATTTATAGTAATTTTAATTTTAAATCTAACTTTCGAATATAGATAGCGTTGTTTGTGTAATTTTTTCCTTTTAGTTTCCTATTAAAGGTAATTTACCTTATTTAATATGAAGCTCTCGTGGCCTAATGGATAAGGCATCTGACTTGGGTTCGACTCCCACCGTGAGTGTTTTAAATGACAGATGCTTTTTATACTTTCGTCGCAAGAATATTCTTGCGCTTAGGGTTCGAGGGTAGGGCAGGACAGGACGAGCGCTCGAATCGATCGAGCAGAAGGGCGGCATTCGGAGGAACAATGAGTAGTGGGATGTAGAATTTCGAGCAGGGAAGAATGTCGTTCTCCGAGCCTAGGAAACACCATCAGCAGCAGCATCATCACCGAGGGAATCGCTACAACAGGAACAATTTCCGGTACCAGTTCGCTGGAGAGTCCTCCGATGGTTTCGACGAGATCATCGCCGAGGATGAGAAGATCACTGACCGTCTCTACATGGAGCTCACCGAGAATTTGAAGAATCGTGCCAAGTAAACAAGCTGACTTTAGTTTTTTCCTTGCCCTGAGAGTTCGTTTTCTTGTTCTTTTTGGGCAGGAGATGTGCCATGATGGAAGCACAAGTGGCAAAACGAAGCAACGAGCTCAAAGAAGAAGCAAAAGCTTTGGCCGAGGAAAAGAGATTGGTGGCAGCTTGGAAGAAAGAAGCTGCGGCTCTCCAGGCCAAGACCGAGGCAGAGGTGAGAGATGACTACCATCGATCATTTGGTTTGCTTAGAATTTAGTTTCCTTGTCGCAGCTAAGCGAGGTTCGACTTGAGAGGGAGCAACTGGAGCGCGCTAGCACTGATTTGGCAGTTCAGGTGCTTCTCTGAACTAAAACTTGGCGTGAGCTTTGTTCTTCGTTGCTAGTAAATTCCGGATTTGCTCCATGGTGGAGCGCGTGGATGATGAAAAACATCCCTTCCCGCAAGTTCGATTCTTGCATCCGGATGAAGGTGTCCAGTGCTGAAGAAGCTTTTACTTGGACTCCTGCTTTTACAGTCTTGCCTGGTTTTTCTTTGCCACTGTTTCTTACGTTTGATGGCAGATGGCGGAGCTGAAGAGGACGCAACGAGAAATGGACAAGCAGAAGGTATGCCTCGTTTTTTCTTCGTTTGTAGTAAGAGTTCTAGTGAAACTTTACAGACACCGTGTGCGCAGCCTATCCCTGAAACTGCACCAGAGAAAAGCACAGAGCTGGTTGCCGTGAGCAATGGAGAAGTTTTGGACGAAATGCCGCTGGCGAAGCGCATCAAAATGAAGCATGAAGTCAAGAAAAAGGAGGAAGTTCAAGTGTTCGACAAAAGATTATTGTGAGATGCTAGCTTTTGGCTAATTCTTGTTTCACTGACATGCTATTGTTTCAGAGTTGTTCAATCTGCGCTCCAAGAGGATGCTCCCGGGCTTTTTGAGGTAAAGCTTTTTGTGTTCCCTCATCTCTGAAATGCCGCGTCTTGTAGCTACTTGAGGAAAGAGGACTGCTCGATGGCATGGACATCATTACGAATGTATGGGAAGAGGGAGATGGAAATACTTCGCAGACCGAAAGCTTCAGTGACTTAACAAGCGTTGTTGGGAAGGTGCTTCTGAGTTTGTATTTTTCTCTTTGGCCGCTAACCAAGATCGTGAGGACAGCTTTGGGGAACTTCATCTCAGTTGCTCAAGGAACACCGCTCGCGGGTACAAATGGCAAACTCGTCGAAGCCTCACTATTGCTTGGCTTGTTTAGTGACCCTGATCGAGCAGGCAAGTTTGTTTTTTCTCGAGTTTTTGTTTCTTTGTTAGTTCGTTTCCATCTAATACATGGTTGTATGCAGACTAGGCTTCTCAAGCAGCGAAAGTGGCCCGTGCGATGGGGCTGGTGTCGAGCACTGAATGCTTTTCTTTTTGTTTTCGAAAAGCACAACAGGCAAGGTTACTTCATTTCATGGACTCCTCAAAACAACTCGTCGCTGTACAGGATTGTAGTGGAGCGCCCGGAATACGGCTTCGCGACGTACTTTTTCGAGTTAGTTCAGTCCTTGCCAGTGAAATGGCAAGTCGATCGGCTCATCAAGGTGATGAGCTGCGTTTGCAACTGCAGAGCTGCGCTACTGGAGAATCGGCCACTGGAGGTACTTGGATTTGAATCTCTTTTGGTTTTGAGAAGAAGTTTGGTAACACGAGGGACGTTTTGATAACTCGAGGAACGTTTCAGGCTGGCAAGGATTTGCTTCCGGAAGAAGCTCGGGTGCTGGAAGACTATGGCTGGACGCCAAACACCGGCATTGGATCGCTGCTCAGCTTCTGTGACCGAGTCCTCCACGACTACAAGAGCGAGGACGAGGCCGCGGAGTGGAAGTCGAAGATTGGAAGGATGCTCATGGACGGGCACGACCACGGGAGCATCGTCTTGAAGCTCCCACGCAAGCTCGACACTGGCAATGTGAGTCTTCTCAGGTCTTTCGATCTCCCAGCTTAACTTTCCTTCGTTTGTAGATGATCGTGGTGAAACAAGAACTTGGAGACGCGCTTCCGCTGGCCATGAAAATGGAAGCTTGCTGAAAGAAGATCGCTAATTTTTGTACATGGTAAAAGAACTCTAACACTGTCCTCCTGTACAACCCTGTATAAAGTCTAAAAAAACTATGACATTGGAAATTTGAAAAGAGTATATTAAGTAACTCCTCTATTTTGTGCTTGGACTAGAGATATTTAAAATCTTAATAATTTTTTTAATCAATTTTTAACTTTTCCTATGGTCAAAGTTTTTCTAATTCATGGAAAGTTCTTTTTTCTTCATGGTCTTGTCAAAGCTCCCTCTCTCTTGCAACACAACACACACAGTAGCGCTTATTTAAAACGCGCATAAACATACAAAAGCCAAGAAGAAACCAAGCAAAAAAGAAAGAAAAAAGGAGACACTAGAGCTCCTCTCTCAAGCTAGCGCTGGAGTAGGACCGTCATCCACGACTCTTTCCTCCTCCTCACTCTTTTCCTCACTCTTCTCCTCACTTTTTTTCTCACTGTCTCCATCTCCTCCCTGGAACCTCTGCCTGATTCGATCCAACTGGCCGGACTCGGCGGTCTTGAACGGCCTCGGCCCAAGAACTTCCACCAGATCGTTGTAGTGGAGAACCTCTCGCGCCAGTAGCTGCTGCGCGAGCTTCTCCAGGCCCTCCTTGTGCTCTTCCAGCAGCGCCACGGTTCTCTTGTAGGCCCGGTCTGTCCATTCCCGGACCTCCCGGTCGATGAGCTCGCCGGTCTCGTTGCTGTATGGCTTGGACAGCTCCATGCCGTCCTCTTTCTGGGGGAAGGATAGAAGGCCCACCTTTTCGCTGAATCCATACACGGCCACCTGGGCGTAAGTTAGCCTCGTCACTCTCTCCAGGTCGTTTTGCGCTCCGGTCGAGATTTTTCCGAGCATGACCTGGAAACCAAAGGTAAGTTTACGTGAAGAAGAGAAAAGAACAAGCCTAGAACAAGAAAAGACCACCAAAAAGGTAGAAAAAGTTGACTTTTCTAACACAATGAGACTCAAGAAAGAAGAACAAAGGGATGAAGAAAGAGGAAGAAGAACGATGGAACTCAAGAAAAGAGCAAGGTTTTTTACCTGTTCAGCAGCACGGCCACCAAGAGCCATGCAAGTCATGTCTAGCATTTGCTCTTTCGTCATCAGCAAGTTCTCGTTTGGAAAGTACTGCGCGAAACCCAAAGCCGCTGAGCCACGAGGAACGATCGACACCTTGATCAGAGGCTCCGCATGCTCCAGAAACCAGCCCGCAACTGCATGTCCTGCCTCGTGGTACGCAACTGTTCTCCTTTCCTCGGGGCTTATCACCTAGAAATCCAATGTTGTAAGTATGAAGAAAAGAAGATACCACTTAAACCTTACCTTGTTTTTCTTCTCCATTCCACCAAGAACCCTGTCGATAGCTGCCTCGAAGTCCTTCATTGAGATCACTTTGTGCTCCTCTCTTGCGGCGCAAAGAGCAGCCTCATTGCAGACGTTTGCAATATCAGCCCCTGAAAATCCCACGGTAATTCTTGCCAAGTCTCCCACGAACTGCTCCGGATCCTGATCAAGCTTAAGTTTCTTGAGATAGATTCGGAAGATCTGTTCCCGGCCTTTGGCGTCTGGCTTGTCAAGAGCTATCTGTCGATCGAATCGTCCAGGCCTCAAAAGCGCCTTGTCAAGGATATCTGGCCTGTTGGTGCCAGCTAGAACCACCACCCCCGCTGTCGTCGCAAAACCATCCATTTCTACGAGAAGCTGGTTCAACGTGCTCTCACGCTCGTCATTTGCTCCAGCAAAACCGCCACGGCCTCTTGCTCTTCCGATCGCGTCGATCTCGTCGATGAATATTATACTGGGAGCACACTGCCGAGCTTGAGCGAACAGGTCCCTCACCCTGGACGGACCAACGCCAACGAACATCTCCATGAAGTCGGAACCGCTGATGGAAAGGAAAGGCACGGATGCTTCTCCAGCCGTTGCCTTTGCGAGTAAAGTTTTTCCAGTTCCGGGTGGTCCAACAAGCAGTGCTCCCTTTGGTATCTTGGCGCCAAGTTCTTCGTACTTCTTGGGATTCTTCAGGAAGTGGACAAATTCCATAACCTCTTCCTTGGCTTCGTCACAACCAGCGACATCATTGAAAGTGACCTGCAAATTTCAGGCACAATTGATCAACCGCTAGAAACAAAGAAGCTGTAGCTACATACCTTGTCCTTGGCATTTTTGTTGATCTTAGTGACGTGGGCTTTTCCGACGTTGAAAATCCCACGGCCACCCATGCCTCCAGGACCACCGCCAATACCAAGTCCACCTTGAAGTCGGCGCGTCAAGTAGAATATCCCAGCGATCAAAAGAAGCGTAGGAGCCATGCTAGAAAGCTCCTGGAGCCAGCTGACCTCCGAAACATAGATAACAGGAACAAAGTCATGGGGATCTTTTCCGGCAGCAGCCTGCGCCTCTTCTAGCTTTCGCTCAAAGGATTCCACACTCCCGATGTTTATGTAATACTTCGGCGTACTATAGACCCGAGCGGGAGCTTGTGTGCTTGAACCAGTATCTGTTTGAAACTCAGACGAGTCCTCATCAATAGACGGTGATTGAGGTTGAGTTTGTTGACCTTGAGCTACTGGCGTCTCGCGAACATATACTCTTGCGACCGCCTTATTCACAACCTCTATGTGATCAACGAGACCAGTCTCCAGAAGCTTGTTTTTGAACTCCTGGAAGCTGATCTGCTGCGAAGTGTTGATAGTTAGAACATTTTCCTTATGACTGAAAGCAATCGAAACTTTACCTGGCGCGTACCGTTGAACCTCACAGATAATGAGCTGAGAAGAATCGCAAGACCTATCGCTGTTGAAATATATGACTGCAGTTGGGCCTTAGATACCTCCTTGAAACCTTTATCACCCTCATTCTTGGGATCCTCTGCGCAAGACAAGACCTCTGTCAGAAAAGAAAAGAAAAGAAAAGATCAAAAAAGAAAACAGCACCATGTTTTTGCTCTGCTCTTTGTTCAGCACGACCCTTTGGAAGATCTTTCTTGTTCTTAGGATGATAGTTCTCATATCCTAATAGTTTACATAACATTAGACCACATTGTTTCACAAAAAAAGGGAGCATACCTTTGTTTTTCGGAGCTTCGGAACAAAACTGTCTTTTGAGAATCGTTCTCCGCGGAGTAGCACCTTGCAAAGTGGCTGACAAAGGCTTGTTGCCTAGCTTGGCAAGAGATTTTTTCTCCAAGTCCACCAAAAGCTTAGAAAACCTGGAATCTGATACGAATCGCTTCTCCAACCCTTCCCGATAGCTGCATGAGGGTGCGCTGGCAGCATCGGCCGAGAATGCGCGTCCAGAGCAAGCCAAATCCTCAAAAACCTTGAAAAATCCCCAGCCTCAGCACGAGAGTTCGAGCTGGAAATCCAGCGCCATACCTTTATCAGGTGCTGCCGTCGCCGCCGGACCGCTGCCACTGCATAGCGCCGAAACATCTAGACCTCGCGATCAAACAGGGCTTCGCTCCGGCAATCTGATGCTCGCCTGGGAATCACACCTCCAACACGCGCACCGCGACCGCCAGAGCACGATCAAGCATAGCGCCTTCTACCGCTGCTTCCTTCTAACCCTAGACGCCATTTGTTCTTTAGAGAGGCATGACAAAGAGAAGGGTTTTTTTCTCGAGGCTCTGACGTGGCGAGTTTTGGCGGCTAAGGTTAAGTCGGCCGGATAACGTCTAGTAAAAAGTCAAATTTCTTTACCACACAGAAACCCTAAAAGTATATGTTAGAGCTGGAAGAAGAGCTCGCCTCTAGCATCAGGCAATGCGGCAGCCACAAAGATTTAACCAATGCCCAGAGGCTCCATTCTCTAGTCCGTAGCCATACGCTCATACGCCACAATGTCTACCTCGCCAATCTTCTCGTCCAAATGTACGGTAAGTGTGGCCACCCACACGACGCCCGTCGCGTGTTCGATTCCATGCCCCGACCAAACATTTACTCGTGGACGATTATGCTCGAGGCATATACCGAGAATGGGAATCTCGACGAGGCTAAGTGGCTGTTCGATTCCATGCCCGCCCGGAATGCGGTGACGTGGAACACGATCATCACTGCGTTTGGACAGGCTGGCCACGTGGACTCCGGGAAGGAGCTGTTTGACAGGATGCCCCAACCGGATATGGTGACGTGGAATGCCATGCTGGCGGCATATACCCAGAATGGGCATCTGGAGCTCGCCAAGGGATTGTACGACACCATGCCTGAGCACAATGTGGTCACAAGTACGGCTATGCTGCAGGCGTTTGCGCAGGGTGGCCACCTGGATCGAGCCCTGGACGTGTTCGAGAATATGCCCCAGAAGAATATGGTATCTTGGACGGCCATGCTTGTGGCATATACTGAAGCTGGGCATTTTGATTTAGCAAAGAGAATCTTTGGTAGGATGCCCGAGTGGAACGTAGTGTCGTGGAACGCAATGCTCCAGGCACATTCGCGAGGCGGGAATATCCAAGAGGCCGAAAAGATATTCCATGCGATGCCTGATCATGACGTCATCTCGTGGACGACTCTTCTTGTCGCACTTGCCGAGGCCGGGCAAACAGACAAAGCCAAGAAGGTATTTGAGAATATGCCCGAGCGTACAATGGTAACGTGGAACTCGTTTCTACAGATATTTGTAGAGAAGGGACACGTGGAAGAAGCCAAGAGGGTGTTTGAGAGGATGCCAAAGTGGGACGTAGTATCATGTACCACGATGCTCCACGCTTATGCCCAGAGTGGGCATCTGGAAGATGCTAAATTAATATTCGATCGGATGCACCTAAAGACCGACGTGTCATGGGCGGGAATGATATCCGCATATTCCGAACGCGGGGATCTCGATGCCGCAAACCACGTCTTTGGGGATATACCCCGCCAGCATCTGCTGACGTGGAATGCCATGCTTTCAGCATATGCCGAGCACGGGCATCTTGACGGCGCGAAGGGAATCTTCGACAGGATGCCCGAGTGGGACGTGGTGACGTGGACGACGCTGATGGCGGCATATTCCCAGAGCGGGGACTGGGAAGGGGCCGATTCCATCTTCGAGAGGATGCCCGAGAAAGATTCGGTGGCATGGACGGCCGTGATTTCCATGCACGCTCACACTGGACGCCGCCAAGTGGCCATTGGGAATATGCTCGAGCTCCAAATGGAGGGCCTTGAGAGCGACGAGGGAGCGTTCTTGAGCGTCTTGATGGCTTGCAACCACGTTGGTCTTTTGGAAACCGGGATAAATTTCTTCCGGTCGATGATCACGGACCATGGCTTGGATCCAAAGTTTGAGCACTACTGTTGCATGGTTGATATCCTCGGACGCTCGAGCCAGCTTAAGAATGCCGAGGATCTGATCGATACCATGCCTTACCACCCGGATGGATTGGTCTGGGGAGCGCTGCTAAACGCTTGTCGACTCCACCACGACGTCGAGAGAGCCCAGAGAGCGTCGCAGGAGCTTATGGATGCCGACCCCGAGAATGGTGCCTCGCAAATTCTTCTGGCCGAAGTTTACGCGTCCTCGAGATCAAAGCGGTGGCCTCGCACTACGCCCAAGAGATGAGCCGAGAAAAACTTGTCTGAAAGACTTGCTGGACAAGTTCTTATCACTCTGTCTGTAAACGACGATTGTAAAGAGCCTTCTAATCTTCACGAGAGACCGCTGGTTTTTAAGCCTTTCGGACTATCACTCTTCTCTCTCGTTTGTACTCTATCTCGTCTCTTTGGTGCATGATTACCAAGGCTCGCCTCACCTGTATACGAGAGCTCTTAGCGATGAACTGTAATGAGCAGTCTTACCGTCGGTTCGGGCATTCCCATCCGCATTAGTTCATCGATCAAGCGCCGTTCCGACATGAAGCTGCCGATTCCCATGCGCCTTTTTATTTGCGTTTCCACTTGCTGGACAAAAGCGCTCGGTTAGAATGAAATGGAATTGATTGTATTCAGATATGTGGTAACGAACCTGGATCTCGTTTCTCATTTCCGGTGTCACGGTAATATTGTCCGTTATTCCGGACCGTGCGGCATCCATTGTGGACACGTAAAACAATCTAATGGCCTCGGTGACATGCTCTTCTGTTGCTTCCTGTGAACTGCAAAAAGGCAGTAGTCGAGCGTATGTTATAGGCAAAAGAATTGGCTTACAGCTGCATTTTAGCGATGGCTTCGCTTATTCGTACGATGGCTTCAAGCTGGCGAACTGTAATCGGAATAGGAGTCGATTCTCCCGTTTGGCTTTGCTCTCTCATTTGCTGATAATTAAGGGAAACTTAGAACCTGTAGGAGCTTCAGATTTCTGCAGTACCTTTCTAATCTCGACGTAACTGTTTTGTAGCATAACTGCAGCTGAATCGGACAAGCGAGGCCTACAGCGATCTCGGCAAAACTCAATATATCTGCACGTAAGTTACAAGTTTCTACAGAACGGAACTTTGAACTATTTGTGAACCTTTTAAGCCAGTTATATTTTTCACGAACATCAGCATCTTTTGATCCAAAACCTGCTGAGGCATGTACTGTTACTACGTGCCGAGCGATTTGCTGAAACACAAAACGAGGAGTAGAAAACAGTAATACGAAATAATTTGACGTACCATGTCTCTTTGATGATCTCTGGCATCCTTGACTATAAAAATCAGATCAAATCGAGATAAAATAGTTGTCTGAAGGTCAATGTTTTCTTGAGCAGTCTGCTATAAGCGGTTAGAACACCGACAACGTAAAGGCGAACTTGGTCACCTTCAAATCGTCATAACGTCCAGATGGAGGATTGGCTGCGGCCAGTACTGATGTTCGTGAATTTAAAACCGTAGTAATGCCAGCCTTGGCTATAGAGATTGTTTGCTGTTCCATAGCCTCGTGAATGGCTACTCTATACATACAAATTATATCAATAAAAGATAAATCGAGATCAGATTTCATTTACCTGTCTTCTGGCCTCATCTTGTCAAATTCGTCAATGCAAACCACCCCTCCATCGGCAAGCACCATCGCTCCTCCCTCTAAATAGAACTCTCGCTGGAACATCATACAAATTGAATGAAAAAAAACAAGTGGAACAGATAGCATTTACGGAAGCCTACCGAACTCGCATCACGTATGACGGATGCAGTCAATCCAGCAGCAGAGGAACCCTTGCCAGATGTATACACAGCAATCGGCGCAGTTTTCTCCACAAATTTCAAAAACTGTACAAGGAAAACATTAGAGAAACAAGACCCAAAGCACTCAAATCCAACCTGAGACTTTGCAGTCGACGGATCTCCCAAAAGAAGAACGTTAATATCGCCTCGAAGACGTACTCCATCGGGTAGTGACTGAACCACACAATCCAGATCAAATCCCATATTTTAATTCCTGGCTGTCATGTGCTAACCTTACGAGAACCTCCAAACATCAGACATGCTACGGCCTTTTTTATGTCGTCGTGGCCGAAGATTGAAGGAGCAAGAAGATTGCAAACCAGCTGGTACGAGTCGGGCTTCCGAGAAAACTCTTTAAATTCGTTTTCCTGACAAAAACAAAGAAATGGAGTTAAAAGGATGCATTGTATTTTTTTTTTCAACCAACCTCGTCAGCTGTAAAAGAAGGCGCGCCTCTAGAATTCCCCTCTGCTGCATGGTCCATTCCCACAACCCTTAAGTAAGGCTGTCTGATTGCCACAGCTCCTTTTTGCCTGGACTTGACAATGTTAACCAGCGAAAGACCTTTTGAAAACACAATCTCACGTTGTTGCATTTCCGGTTTGGAAGATGCTATATACTCCAAGAACTGTGACCCGAGTACCAGGAGCAGTCTTTTGAACTAGATTTCGATCGGCAGCTAGCAGAAGGTTTCTAGGGAGCTCCCCGGTAGGAACATCCTTCATATGGAAAACCTCAAAAAAGGACCAAAAATATGTAAACTGTTTACCTCAGGATTCTCTTGTAACTTCAGCGTTTGTTGATCGACATATTTGCTCCGGTCTGGGATCACAAGCCATGGATCTATAGGACACGGTTCTTCACCAGGCTGCATTTAAACTTCTTAGCAATAAGAAAAACTCGCAAAAAATGAAAACAACCTGAGGAACATGATCGCAAGAGCGTGGCATCATGGCTCCACCGAGACCAGGTCTGCATGGAACTACCTTTACGTTTTTACAGTTTCTGCAGCACAAAGTCACAGCAGTGGCTTTGGCTTTTGTCCTTGAGGCCGCGATTATGATGCCAGAAACTTTTACCAGCTTCGAGATCCAGCCTGCCTGTATCACACACAACAAGAACACAGATTAGAACTAGAGAGAAAAGAGTTTCATCACCCCAAGAGTTCGTATCGATGACACTAGTTCTTTGGAGGCGAGTAAAACTTGGACTTCGCCAGTATCAGGCTCGGCCATTTCACCGGTTTCAGCAGCGACTTTCGATTGCAAACTCGCGACTACTTCTGCCGCAGCACTCTCGAGCTAAAGAAAAAAAAAAGATAGAATAAATACTTGCATATAAACGAATCGTACCAGAGGTAAATAATCCGTGGGAAAATTCCGGACTTTCTCCGCCAAATCTCCATCGAAGAAATGCAGGTCCTCGATCGACACTTCCACAGATTTCGGGTTGTGAAGGAGACTCTCCCTGACAAACAGAAATTATTGCCTGAGCAGCACAAAGGGTAAAACGGGCACCTGTAGGTGAAGCTCCCATCTGGATGAGAGTAGCTCCTGAAGAACTCCTTGAACTTACGCTGGGCGGAATGGCGCGTGACCTCAGGGGATCCATCCTGCTCCGGGTACTGCGCCTGATCGCTGTAGAACACGGCGCCCTCGTCCCACCCAGACATTGGGAAGAACCCTAGACCCAGAAAATGGCGGGAATAACCAATATGGCGGGAAATTATTCGATTTGCTTTATACTTAAATTGTCTTATACTATTATAAATCATATTTAAAGTCCATATTATGAGAAAATTGATAAAATCTAGGATTAAAATCCTTAGCATGAAAAAAATAATAATTTCTATTATCAAGCTCTTTAGCAAATTGGAAAAAGTTGTTCCATATTAAGCTTAAGAAGAAATTCATTGCATAAAACAATTGAGTTATTTTACTATTGTGGAGTTAAACGAAAAAAAATGACAAAAAAAAATTCTCTTTAACATTTCATGTTTCAAACAAAATATTTATTAAGTTCCCAACTATCTAAAAGTGGGGTGAGATGCGAAACAAAGGAGTGTAGTTAATTGATACAATGGAAGGATAGATAAATTCAACATTAAAATGGAGGTTTTTGTGATTATAAGATAACATTTAAATATACTATCATTATAGATCTTTGGAATCTTAGAAGATAAATGAAGATAAAATAAATATTAACAACTCTCTTATTTAATAATTACCTCTTTATAATTGGGTCAAGTGGAGAAATATAAAGTTTAACACCTCAAGGGTCTGTAGCATATGTAATCATAAGATAAAATTTGGATATACTATGAAAAACAATATATCTACTGATAAATGAAAATAAAATAGTCATTAAGAGTTTTTTATTAAATAATAACCCCTTTTTTAGTGGTATGCTATGTAACAGAAATTGTGGTTCTCTTTATAATCATAGGAATAATTTGTATATATTATCAATGTATATCCATGAAATCACTTTATAAATGGTGATTAAATAACTATTAAAAATGTTTTATCAAGTAATTGCACCTTTTCTAGCTGGTTTAAAAAGATAAAGATAAAATGCATTATATCAACATAAAATGACAATATTGACATATCAAAAGTGGGGGTAAATGTAATATATATAAATATAAGATGAGATTTGGATATATTATCAAAGTAGTCATCTAAGGGCTCTATCATTAATTAATTGCTATTTTCTTAGTTGACTTAAAGAGAAAGAAATAAATTTGGTATATTAATTTAGAATTTAACAATAGACAATCCAATGAGGGTTAGTCAAATAGTTAGATAATATAAGGATGGATAGAATTAATGAAAAAATGGAGGTTTTAGTTTCTTTTGTTATTATAGAATGAGATTTAGATATATTATCATTATAGAACCTTGGAAGAAAATAATTATTGAAGACTCTCTTATTAAGAAATTACCCATTTCTAATTTAAAGGGAGGAAAAGAAAAATATACTATATCACCATAGAATGAGGGCATTGACAGTAGGTGAATGTAATATATATTATCAAATCTACAATTATGGTCCTAAATGAGGGTAGTTTGAGAAATCACTAAGAATTGTGTTTTAGACAAAAATAACATACTACACTCTGTGCCAAAATTTAATGAAAGAGCTCCTTAAAAAATTTTGTGTGTATCTATGTGTAAACTTTTGAATCTAGACTTCCCAAGAGGTCACCTAATTTAGTATTATTCAAACCCAAAAACATTTAACCCTAAATATCCTAAGACCTTTAACTAATTAGAAAAAAATGTGCACTTTTATTTATATTTTCTAATCTATTAAGGGTTTTGGGATATTTGAGGTTAAACATCTTTAGGTTTGAATAATACTAAGTTGAGTGACTTCACGAACAATCCAAATCCAGGAACTTTCATTTGGTATTAGAAGTTTTAGATTTGACTTTATTGGTTGGTTAAGGGAATCACACCATATACTAATTAACATTTGGCAAGTTCAATTTGCTCCAGCTATGCTCGACTTGAGAGGTAAAGAGCTAAACTCAACTTAATGGGTAGAGAGGTCCAATTTACTCTGGCTAGGCTCGACCTAAGGGGTAAAGAGATTTAATTTGCTTCAGTTGGGTTTAATCTAAAAGGTAGTATGTTAAGAGAGTAAGGCTCCTAGGAGAACTTATGAATTTGGACTTTCTGAGAGGTCATTCAACCCAGTGTTATTAAAACCCAAAAACACTTAGCCATAAATATCCCAAGACCTTTAATCGATTGAAAAAAGGGGTGCATTTTTACTCATAAGCATTTTCTCTTTATATTTGAATATTATAGATTGTTTTTTAAGTCATTTTTTTTTTGTTTATACTAGAATCTCAATAACCACTAAAAAAAAATTGATATTCTAGAATCTTGCCCCTTAAAGGAAGGTAAAAAAGAAAATTAAACCTATTTTTTCTTTCATCTTGTCATTAAGCTAGGTTTGAAGAATACTTTTATAAGATTTAACAACTCATGGGATTGAAAATTTAGTGCTCCTACCCTTGCAAAACTGTTATGAGGGTCTCACTATAGTATATAATCTGAAGTCCTATAGTTATAAGTGGATCTTTTGAACTTGATAGATTCAAAGATGGTAGAGATATTAGAGATTTAGATTAAGAGAAATAATTTCATCTCTTTGATATGTTATTATATAAATTATATATATTTTATTCTGTGAATTTATTTTCTAGAAAAAATTTAAATTTACATTTAATATAAAACTTTAGTATATATAAACTCAATAAAACATTATTGCAAACCCTCTCATATCAAATTATTGTTTGTGTGCTAGACTTAGAATTTCTCAACATTTGTTTATAATAGTATTCTCAAGAGTACTGCCATCTTCATAATGGATTTAGTGTTGAGCTATAGGGAAAGCTTTGAAAAATTTTAGACACTTTTTGATGTCTATAAAAGCTATTATACTTTGTGAAAAAATAATTCAATGCCACCTTTATTAACTATAGTTGATAAATCATTGATTTGCTTATAATATCTATTAATATTGCACACTTTATTTCTCTCCTCTTAAGCCAATTTTAAAAGGGGAAGTTCCTTGATAAGAGAGCCCTTAATGGCTATTTTGTCCCTAAGGTTATATCTAAATCTCAAGCAATTAATATACAAGCAAGATAAGCATTTACTTTGCTCTAGGGGGACTCAATAGGCTAGAATGGAGCCACAACCCCAAGACAGCTGTCAGAATATAAAGAATATCCTTACAATGCAACTCCATGAAGCAACTAATGTGTTAAAGTAAGTCTAAAGACATGACTATAGGCTGAAGTGTAAAGGTGATGGGAATAATGTTAGAAGCTTAGAAGAGCAAATTAAGGATATCACTCTATGCCTTTAATACTGTGAGAAAGGATGCTCTTCTAGAGGACCACACTCATGCAGCATGACAAACAATTATTCCACTTGAATCTTAGGCATTGCAGTAAAACTTGGTTGCTACTCAATTGTAAATCAATGCACTTGTCATTTTTTGCATTCTTGCACAATTTGGCCATTAGTAGTTTCATCACTAGATTATCAAGCTATTGAACCATGTTTAACACTTGTTTATCACTATGTGTAGATTTTATACCCTGGTCTGCTCTCATACTATATAGCCAATGGCAGCCACAACCAAGATCCCTGCAA